GCTGGGTCCCTGGCCTGCCGCCTCCTTCTTGCAGGTGCGGCGGCTGGTTCGTATCGCCCCCGCCCCCACCCCGTCACCTACCCCCGCTCCCGTTTCTGCGTCTCTTTTGAGCCCCTTTCTCTAAATATTTGTCCTCCCGTCTCTGCACTCACACTTTTTTTTTTTTGCACTCACACTTCTAAGTCTCCCTCCCTCTGGGTCGCTGTCCATTGCTTTCTGAATGTGCCCCCCTCCTTCTGAGTCTTTGCCCCTCTTCTAAGCCTCAGTGTCCTCTCCCACCGCCGTGTCTCGGTATTCCCAACCCCCGTCTCTTTCTGTTAGTCTTTATACCTTTTCCTCCGGGATTTGCCTTTCTCTCTGGACCCCTGTCCCGCCCCCCCCCCTCCCGGGCCTCTGTCCCCCCTCTGTGTTTCTCTGTCCTACACTGCCCCCCATCCCAGGCTTTCTTCTCCCACTCTCTGGATCTCTGCCCATTCATCTGGGTCTGTCCCCATCACCCTTGCTATCTGGCCTCCCTCCCCGTGTCTTTTCCCCCTCCTCTGTCTCCGCACTCCCCCACTGCCTTTTCTCTTTCTGCCCTTTCTCTTCCTGGCTGTCCCCATCCACTGGTCTCGCCCCCCTCCCAGGTCTTTTCACTCCCCCCCCCCAGTCTCTGTCCCCCTCTCTTTGCCCGCATTTCTTTGGCCCTCAGTCCCGCTGTCCTTCAGCCTCTGCCCCCGTCTCTGGACCTCTGGGCATTTCTTTCAGGCTCCCCCACCCCCACCCCATCACCCCCTCTAACCCCCATCCTGGCCAGGACACCGGGCTGCGTCACTGCAGGGAGTTGCAGAAGTGGGGCTTGTCCTGCAGAACAGAGAGTTAGCTCCCCTCACCACGCAGACCCTGGGCTCCCCACTGCCCCTGATTCCATACCCTTGAGTCTTGAAAACCCCGCCGGGACCCAGGAGGGCAGAGAAAAGACATCATCGGGGCTTCCGACTCCTCTCTGCCCCGAATTCTGGTGTATCCCCGGGCAAAAGCAGTGAATCCTGGCGTGAGGGATTGGGCTTGAGTTGAATGAGGCTCTGGGCAAGTCAGGGGGTTTGGTAGGCACTAGGGGCTGGGGGTAGGGGCCAGGGTAAGGACCTTAGTCAGCTATCCACCCTTA